AACCATCTCTCTTTCTAAATTTCTGCATTTTCACTCTCTAAATAGGTGGGCACATCAATCCTATTGTGAACCTTAGTCTGTATTTGGCAAAGAGGATGTCCCTAATAGGGGCAATGATGAACATGGTCACCCAATACTTGGATGCAATGCATAATATCAGCTGGTTAAAGGATTTTAGAAATCATATTATCATGGTTATGGAGGACAGGCTTATGAATTGGCCTCAGGTTGCAATAAGGGAGTTGGGTTAGGAGAGATTACTGGGACTTTCTTGCTGGTTCACAGAGAGAAGAGATATTAGAGAGAATAAAGCTTTGGTTCAATTGGCTCACAAAAGTATCCTTTCCCATCAACCATTCCACCACAAAGCCCCCACCAAAACTCTAATCTGAGTATTGGAAAGCATAGAAACAAAAATATAGATTTCATCAATCAATTTCGCAATGTCTTCATTAATTCCAATTTAAAAAATTGCAAAAAATGTCAAGCCTAAAAAATATCACCCAGATTAAATTTCTTGAATGAGTGGATAGCATGTTCTGGTCTAAGAAGTGTGAGGAACTTAAGCTATACAAAAATTCCATTTGAAGATATTCAACATGCACTTTGAAACTATACAAAATTCTACTTGCAACATGAATTTGCAATATATGGAAGCTATACAAAAATTCCATTCCGAACCTCCATTCCAAGATAAAGTTTTCTCCACTAGCAATGGGGTTACAAAAGATTTCTCTGATGATGAGCTTGATTGTTGAGCATTGGGCTTGCAAAAATTTCTAAGATGATGAGCTTGATTGTTGAGCATTAGGCTTGCAAAACATTTTTAAGATGATGAGCTTGATTGTTGAATATTGGGCTTGCAAAAAATTTCTGAGATGATGAGCTTGAGGGTTGAGCATTGGGCTTATACAAAAAACTCCAGTCTTGTTCTTAAAGTTATGGCCTCTGCTTTGACTTCTTGCATTGTCATCCAAACTGATATAGTCATTGAAAATTTAGGATATACATTAGCTTGGTAACCAATTGAAAATTGAAACCAATTGAAAATAGAAAGAACTAAGCATTTAACATAAAACACATGCCATTATATCCTAATACATTTAATATATAACAATAAATTAGTGCAAATGTATTATCAATATACCATCAATAAAGCAAATGGTGTACATAGCGAAGTCTACATATTGTTTCGCTCAGCTTCAGGCTCCATTGTGGGAATTTCCATGTCAGACCTGCATAAGTTGCAAAATAGTGATTAGTTGATGCATTATTTCAAATTCACAAGAAAATATTAAAGTACAACAATATTAAATTATAATTGTAAGCATAATTATAATTTTACCCTTGAGTTCTAAATGTTGGACATGTTCACCTATCATGCCCTACATTTTAGCAAACAGAACACTTCTTCGTGCTTGTTTTCTTTTCCCATTGTGCTTTCTTTCTTGCAGTGCTAAGCCGCCCTTTTGTTCGAGCACATTGTGATTCAAGAATAATGATGTTTGGGTTAGTCCATGGTAAGTAATTATGACTAAACATGACATCCTTTAAATTGCTACCTTGATTCGAACAAGTTGCCTCTTTTTCATACTCCAATCTCTTCCTCTCTATTTTTTCGTTACACTCTATAAGAATATTTTTTGTAAATTCCCAGAGTCTTTCACTATCTGATTCGTTTGATACAACTTTAAAGGTGACTCTACTTAAATCATCGTAACGAGCAGTTTGAGACTCCTTATAGTCGGCTTTAATTTGAACACCATCGTCATCTAATACCATCCCTTTGTTTCCTTCCTTAGTCCATCTTCTCATGATGTAGTGCTCGGGGATGAGCATAACATTATTATAATAGAGTACATTTAAGACATGTGCACAAAGAATACCATCATGTTCATACAAGCAACATGAACAAGTTGTTGTCATTTTTGATTAATTGAATACCACTTTATATTGTAGTCGATTGACATCATATTTATACACCCTATATGTGGTATTTGGTCCCTCAACTTCGAAAGACTCTGCAACCATGAGAGGTATCTTTTGAATTTCCTCAACGAACTTCCTAAATACACTATGAGTATACAACTTAGCAGCTTGTTTTTCATAGGGGAGTGTCATTCTCATCACTGGAATACCTTCAATGCTCTTGAAGTCCATCATATTTTCTTTCTCATATAGATGATCATTTGATTTATGGCAATGCTTTGCAAATCCTGAAAAATTTGTGTGTGAATTGACATACTGTTTAATAAAATTATTCATAGATTCACTCTGTTGACTAGACCGTGCATCAGCAAGAAATGTATTCTCCATAGACACATCAACCCACTGAGAACGACATCCATATATTGTGTTAAACCATTCATTCCCATTGAGCTCATATTTTTGGAGCATTCTGGACCAACGATCCTCAAAATCATTAATTGTCTCATTATAATCAATAGTGATTCTATGCAGCTCATGTATGAACCATGGGTGCTTCCGCTCAACATAGCCTAATTTTTCTTAAAACTTTCATGAAATATGTCATCTACATAATCAATGTCGTGCATTTGGAAGAACTTCTTTAATTGCAGCAGCCATGACTGCATCTGGATCAGTAATGATGCAACCCGGTTCTCGACTCTGCATAGCTTCTAGTCAATGCCCAAACCACCAACTAAGAGACTATGTTGTCTCATGCCTAATTAGTGTACAACATAAGACTGTATTGTTTCCATAGTGGTTTGCTCCAATAATGGTGGCAAAAGGTATGTAATATGCATTTGTCTTATATGTTGTATAAAAAATAACTACATCACCAAAATATTCATATGATATCCTTGATCGCGAGTCGAGTCAATCCATAACACATTATAGACTTGACCTACCTCGTCAAGCTGTATTTTATAAAAAAACCATAGATTCGCCTCAATACGCTCACGAAAGTAGGCCAAAAGAGCCTCCTCATCCCTCCCTCTAACACTCACCTTCCTACGGGTGCTATGGATAAAGTTTTCGACATTTACGTGAGTGAAGCCCAGAGCATTTGACCCATTCACATGTTCAGTTAAAATTTGCATAATTTTATGCACACAAAACCTTGCTGAAGACATCGCTTTAATCAAGTTCATGGTAGCTATTAAGATGGCCCGATATGATCTCAAATTATGTATACTTGTGGGAGTGCGCCTCAACAAATTTCGTTACAACCCACTTTCCCTCTTTCATCCTGTGTACCCTTAACATTGCTTTGCATCCTTCCCTTGTTATTGGTAGAGGATAAATTTTTGCCATCTTTTAAACAAACATAATCTCGCTTCCTCAAATTGTTATCCTTGTCCTTCCTTGGCCTCACAAGACGAATGCTAAAGCCTTTTCGTTGGGCATATGCATTGTAAAATTTATTCACAACATCCTCATATTCAAAGTCCATTCCTATAAATAAGTCCTTTTGATGCTCACTATTGTCTTGTTGATCACAAAATAGTGGGACCTTAATGTCTTCACCATCCCCAGTTGCTATGACATTATCATAACTCACATCCATAAATTTGTTTTTATAGAACTCATCCTGGTCCATCCTTATAGAAAAAACAGTATTTGGATGTTATGAAAGAAGCTAAAGAAGTAACATTCAATTGAGCAGTATTAGGCAGTGAATTGAGCACTGAGAAAAAAGAATTCGATTAAGTAATTCATTGAGATAAGCAGCCACCATTCAATAAAAAAAGGCAAATTTAACGGGGTGCCGTGTTTTTTCTTTATCTCTTCCTTTTTCCTTTTTTTTTTGAGCAAGGTTTAAAACCAGTAGCCACTTTTGCAAACTCGGAACTTGTGTGCCACTCATTGATCAAAGACAAGAATCCCCTATCAACATGGATCCTTAAAATGGCAAAAGAAATACTATTAGTTCAAAGCTTCAACAAAAAAAATGCAGGAACCACAATTTCAAAGGATTCACAAATTAACTAAAAGATATAGCTTAGCCCTGATATTTATAAAAAATGGCACGGATAATCAGTTCAAAATTCAAAAAGGAATTTCCCCTCGATGGGTCCAAAAAACAAATGTGAAACCATTACCTCAACTTTCAGATTCAAGAAAGAATGGAAGCAATCCTATGCCTAATGGATTCTAAAAATTGCATAGAAACACTACTAATCTCCAAATTTCACAAAAAAAACAGCAATCCAAAAATTTCATAAAAAGCAACAAGCCCTCCCAAAATGGATTAAAAAAGGTAACATAGAAAACAATACTCAAGTCCAAATTTCCATAAAATGGCATGAACTACTAAGCTCCAAGCAATCTTAAAAATAAAAAAGACACCACTTTTAACAAATTTCACAAAAAAACAGCTATCAAATCTTCATAGCTCTAAATTTCATAAAATTACTATCATTCAAGAAACAAAGATAGAGAGAGTTATAATAAGGTGGGGGAACATAGAACGTTTTCCCCTTATGAGGGAAAAGCTTTCTATGCTTCCCCTCCATTTCATCAAACACCTTACGAGCATTTCCAATCTCTCTACAAATTGAGTACAAATCAATCAGCACAGTTTCAACAAAGACCTTAGAATTCAAACCCCATTCCACAAAATTCACAAAATTAGTATCATTCAAGAAACAAAGATAGAAAGAGTGATAATAAATAGCTCTAAATTTTACAAATAATGCTAGAGAGAGAGAGCAAAAGGCTATAAATATCACAAATGATGCTACAGAGATTACTTTAAAACATACACACAGGCAAACACACATCTAAAATTAAACAAAAAAGAAAATTGAAAAATATCAAACCTAGGATCTGCAAATTAGCGGCGACGATGAGAACCTTGGGTGCTGACCTAGAGGCCTCGGCACGACGAAGAGCAAACCCTGTTTTCGGGATGACCGTATTGCCTCTTGCCTACCTTTGGACTCTCTCTCTTTAGGATCTTCCTGCCTAATCCTCTGTAAAAAAAAATTTCTCCCCAAGAACCCCTCTCTCCCTCTTTTAATGGTGCGTGCTCTCTCTGCTCTCCAAGAAACCCTTTCTCCCTCTAATCTATGTGCTCTCTCTCTCCTCCAAGAAACCCTTCGTTTAGGGTTCTTTCAAGCATTTCTTCAAGAGAGAGAAGATGAGGTCATGGGGTGGTGGTAATGGAGTATGGGTAATGGAGATAACTTTTTGGAGGTGGGTTTTAGTCCCTCTGACCTGCGTGCTCTCTCTCTCCTCCAAAAAACCCTCTCTCCCTCTAATTTGCATGCTCTATCTCTCCTCCAATAAATCTTCTTCTCCCTTGCTCTCTCTCTCCTTAAAATAGGTTACTCTCTCTCTAGTACAGACTTATTTCAAAATGGGTTACCAGTTGCCCTCGTACCGCCATTTTTTGACAACTTGAGTAAATGAATGTGAGCTCTCCATTTTAAATCAACAACTAAAAAGGTCGAAAACATAGAACTTCTGTGAAATCAACATCTAAAAAAGTGGGGGAACATAAAACTTCTATGATATGGGGAATATAGAAAGCTTTCCCTTATTAGATACCCGAACTACACTACTCTTGCTGAAGATAAGGTAAGCTATCCGATGCAAGTGTATCGACCCATATTGGAAATTTAAGGATAAAGCATGGGCAGTTCTTGATGTTGGTGGAAACTACAACTTCCACATGCATTTAGTGGGGGTTTGGTTGGGGTTCCAAACGCACCACGTAAATCTCTTCCTTACCGCTCGCTCTTTCCCTCTCTAAGGGGTAAAGAATCTCTCTCTCTCTAAGGTTCAAGTTCTCCAGTTTGGAGAAAGCCGAGCCCACCACGTAGACCTCCTCCTCTCCACTATGTCTCTCTCTGTGATACAGCGATAACAATTTTCGAAGTTGGTGAAAATCCGAATCCACCACGTAAACCGCCTCTTTCTCTCCAACCACTGCTATAAAACTCTCCCTCTCCCTCCCTAACTTCATCACTGCCATAAAGCCCACGCCACTCTTCTGTCCTCCTCCCCACTACAAAGCTTTAAACAAGGAAGCAAGAGGAGAGAGATATGGAGGTGCTAAGAGTCCAATCCATTGCATCAAGAACCTTAGACACAATTCCCAGCAAGTTCATCAGGCCCGAAAGCGAGAGGCCAGATGTAGGCCGCATCGGCCGGGCCCCTCAACTCCCTGTTATCGACCTCTCTAACCCAGACCAAGAATCCTTGGTCCAAGACATGGCGAAAGCAGCTCAAGAATGGGGCATTTTCCAGATCATAAATCACGGTATTCCACAACAAGTTGTCGAGGAGCTTCAGAGGGTTGGAAAAGAGTTCTTCGAGCTCCCTCAGGTGGAGAAAGAGCGGATTGCTCGCAACTCGGCCTCTCCCGCCCTCGAAGGCTATGGCACCCAGCTTCAGAAGGACCTTCAAGGGAAGCTATCATGGGTCGACTTCCTCTTCCATAACATTTGGCCGCCTTCTCGAATCAACTTCGACAAATGGCCGAAGAAACCTGCCAGCTACACCGCTTCAAATGAGGAGTATGCTAAGCATTTGCAGAATGTCGTTGACAAGCTTCTGGGTACTCTCTCTCTCGGGCTGGGGATCGAGGAGGAAGTTTTGAAGAAATCATTGGGTGGTGATGAGTTCGTATATCTCCTGAAAATCAACTATTACCCTCCATGTCCGAGGCCTGATCTCACCCTCGGCGTGGTGGCTCACACAGACATGTCCGCTCTTACCGTCCTAGTGCCCAACGACGTGCCGGGCCTTCAGGTCTGCAAGGATGACCAATGGTTCATTGCCGACTATATTCCCAACGCCCTTATCGTGCACATTGGTGACCAGATAGAGGTATCCAAATCTCTCTCTCAAAAGACTTTCAAACAAGAAATCCATGTTTCTTTTCACTTTCTTTTTCGAATTTGGGCCATGGCAAATGCAAGATGATCCCTCCTCCGATCAACCCCCAATTTTTATTTTTGTCAAAATTACCTTTTGTCAACCTGAATTTCATTTTTCTTATTTTTTATTTTTTATTTTTATTTTTTCGTTAGTAGTGAATTTCAATTTTTTTATTTTTTATTTTTATTTTTTCGTTAGTAGTGAATTTCAATTTTTTTATTTTTTATTTTTATTTTTTCGTAGGGCAGTGGCCCAAGTTTTAATGTACTGCCCTTCAAAAAAGACAAAAAAAAAAAAAAAACCAAAAATTTGGGTGGACCAAAAAGTAATTTTAAAAAAAATAAGTTGACCAACCTCTATAATTTACGCATATAAGTGGAGCATTTCACATTTTACCTAAAATTTCAAGGGGCCGTAAATAAATCACTCATTCATGACTAGTGATTAGGCTCCTAATGGACAACGTTCTCTAATTTTGTTGTTATTTGGGTGTATAGATTTTGAGCAATGGCAAGTATAAGAGCGTTTTGCATAGAACAACCGTTAACAAGGAGAAGGCAAGGATGTCATGGCCCGTGTTTTGCAGTCCACCCGACGAATGCATGATCGGCCCTCTACCACACCTCACGGACGAAACCAACAACCCGCCCAAGTACAAGACCAAAAGTTTCAAAGATTATGCTTATTGCAAACTAAATAAACTCCCTCAGTAATATTATTTAGTAAAAACTGTTTTGAGTTTTTTTTGGGTAATACAATGAGGATGACTGCCCATGCTTGTTTTTTAAATCGTTAGTTGTTTTTTAAGGTACTAAGTGAGAATAAAAGCTAGGGCCACGACCCTAACCCCATTCTCAAACTGTTTTGTGATTGATGCAAAGGGATCCACATGCCTCGCTCCCACTGACATCTGAAATTGGATTTCTTTGAGTATGAGCACTGGAAGTGCCACAACACAATTTCACATTTCACAAGGAAGGTGTAATTGTGCACTCTGTGCGCCATATCTAAACGGTGTTGTTGCTTGATTTCTCTTTAAATAAAGCTATTATTTGCTCATATGTGGAGTAATTGTGCACTCTGTGCCCCATACCTAAACAGTGTTGTTGCGTTATTTCTCTTTAAATAAAGCTATTACTTGCTCATATGTGTAAGGCGGTTGCTGAATTTTAAGATGTGCGCCTTTTACCACACGTGACCGTGTTTATTATTTTAGGGTTCCTTGTTTTTTTCTTTATTCATTGTGTTGTCGTCATGCAACGAAATAATTTAGATACCATATTTTGGGGCGCATTTTTATGTGTTGTCGCGACGTAGGTTAATAAATTGAGTCCTAATTTTTGTTTTTTTTTACAAATGCGTTAGATTCCCTATGGGCTCCTTGTTACTCTTGTTTTATTGTGATGTCGCGATGTAGGTTAATAAATTGGGTCCTAAGGTTGCGTTAGATTTCGTTCTTATTTATTTATTTATTAAATTTTTTTTTTTTTAAACAAATGCGTTAGATTCCCTACGGGCTCCTTGTTACTCTTGTTTTATTGTGTTGTCGCGACGTAGGTTAATAAATTGGGTCCTAAGGTTGCGTTAGATTTCCTACTTTTTTTTTTTTTTTTTTTTTAACAAATGCCGTAGATTCCTACTTTCGTAAATGATATATTATAGTTTTGTGAAAGGGAAATGTTTCTATGTTACCCGAAAAACATATAAATGACATGTGACCCAATTTCTTAGCCGTTTGATTAAGATTGGACGGCTACAATTGTTCATACTACAATGTCACGGCAATTTTTTGACAAAACATTTTTGAAATGAAATTTTGAACGTCGCATCATAAAATTAGGGCAAGAAAAATAATGATCAAAATGTCTTGAAATTTTCAAGGGTATTTTAGTAATTTTTTTATCACCAGAAATATTTTTTATTATTGTTATCATGTGCGCCCCTGTCAGATCTGTGCATGCACCAAATTTTGTGTTAAAACTATTTATTGAAGAAAAAAAAAATATATGAGTTGTATGATCTAGATCTAACAGTTAGACACAAGTCCCCCATCAGGAAGGTTTTGCATATTAAAACCAAGGGCATTGAAACTGAAAAAAATACACATTGTATTGCATTAAACCATTTACTGAGAAAAGAAACCAAACGGGCATTGAGTTACAATTTCATACAAGACTGACTATACTACCTCATGACTTAAGCATGAGAATGTTGAGAATATATATGTTATATATGCTATAATTGAGTGGAAACTGCTACAGTTCCACGATTCTTTTTAGCTACTTAGATATTAATATATATGGGTACTCTATTATAAAAGATCCAGATAAACTCAATATTCCAGTGGGAGCACCTATTTGTGTTTAACGTACCAGTTGCAACAACATACTATAATGTTGTTCACCCATAGAACCCGAATATGGGGCGCTAGTTGTATAGCTAGAGAAGGGAGTAGCTTGATTGCAGAACTCCTGTCTCTGAAGATACGACCGCATGAGATGAGAATACGTGATGAACTTATACGACAACAGGTCCATAATTTGCGATGCAACATGAAAAATGGACTATGACTACGTTTAGGATGAGATCCAAGCAGTAAAAAAAAAGATGTGTTGTCTTCATAAATCCTTTGTGAAATGATTGATAACGAAAGCCATGATTAATGTAATAAGAGAGAATAAATGAAAAATACTTGAGAGAGATTGTAATCGGGGGAAGAGAATATCAGGAAGAGAGATTGTAATGCCATCAAATGACAAGGGGGGAGATGTTGGGTTTATGTGGTCATTAAAGGCCTTATAAGAGTTTGGATAATCATTTTATACAGTGAAACATAAACTCAATGGGAGTGTGGTCCTCTTGTGGACTATACTAGAATTATTATTTGCCGATACTTGGACTTGACTTGACGTGTTAGGCCAATTAAGATGGAAAACCCAAGGTACTTGGGCATAGAGTTAAACTGATGAAGGTTCAGTGGGTCATTCCTTGATGAGATCAAAGTTGCCCGGATAAGTGAGCTAAGGGACTATATGGCTCTTGTGAGTGATAGTTGACTTTTAGAGATTGGGCTAAAGCCTCATCCTTGAACCATCACACGTCATGTATCTAGACAGCCATATCGAGATAGCAATCCACCATTGAGGGTGAAGCATGTACATGTGCGAGAGATTATCTCTATCTATTATGGAGTTGTGGTTGCATCATGGTCTGGGGGACCAACGATTTATCTCTATGGGAGAATGGTCCATAGATTGGGATTACATCCCCTAGCCTATTGGCTAATTTTGGTGGCCTAATCATGAAACCTTGTAGTGAATTGTGGGTCTTATAGGAACCGTTAGGTCAGTTTGAGAAAGCTAGTGTGTATTATAGTCCACAATTGCAGGTGGAGTGCTCCATTAAATTCATAATTTATAGACTTATTCTCATCAAAATTGATTAATTTTAATTATTCTTATTTTATATAATTTTTAGAATGATTATTTTCAATGTTTTAAATAATCAAAGAGAAATAAATTTTATTCTAAATTATAAAAATCAATTTAAATACTCATTAAACTATGAGAGACCCACGATAAGATATGAGGCTTATTTAAATTGTCACATGATAGAATTGGATAGGGCCCACTTGGAGCCACCTAGGGTTGCACACCCCACCCATAGGAGGTTGGCTTTCTATTTTGTGGATTGAAGTCTCATGCTAAGTTGACTTTCTAATTTTATGTTAAGCATTTTTTGGTTTATGAATTAAGATAATAAAATTTGATGTCTCGTGAATCAAGATATTTTGATTGAATGAATAAGAAATAAATATTCATAAAAAAAGAATGTATGACTATATTGTTATTATTTGAATATTTGACAGGAATAGGTTTAAAAAATGGAGGATAAGGTTTTAATACATTCAATTGAATCTTGATGGCAGATCTAAGGAACGGATGGTTCACATCTCTCATCCCACAAGTCTCTTTAAATCAATGATCTATATTTGATCTCACTAAAGATGACAAAGCTTAATAATTAAAAATATTAATAAATAGGAGCTCTCTCTCCCTAAATCTCTACTTCTATCCTCTTCTCTCTCCTCTCTATAAAAGTATCATTTATAGAAGGTAGAAAGGGACACACCCCACATAAGAGAACTCTCTCTAGCTCTCATCTCTCTAGGTTAAGCAAATGTGGTTTAAGGTGGGCTAAGGCATTCAGGCCTTAACACTTTGGTTCGAGATAAGATCCATATGTTTTTGGAAGTAGAATAGAGATCGATCATTGATCCCAAGCAACATTAGAAAGAGGAGACTCGGTGTGGATGTACTAAGCCCTATTGAGGTAATATCTTACAACTTTACTTATTTTATTTTATTTATTTTTATTGTGCTCTTCTGTTCCCATAAAACAATGTACGAAAGTTTATATATTGAATAAATGAGTTGTTTTAGCACTAACAAGTGAGAACCATTTCTATTTACTTATTTTAAGAAAGCTTTTATTTGTAATTGGATATTGTAAGTCATCCAGTCGGTGAAAGAAAATAAAATTTAAAATTTATATATACCGTCCTTTATCACATAGTCTAACTTTTATCCATATGCATGCAATTATATCAACCATAGTTTTAAAATTTGACAATCTAGATTGGAAAGAATACATCGGGCTGATTTGGATCCCAAAAACTATTGAAACTTGGCAGGATCTCCCTACTGGCCGCTCGGTTCCTACCGATTCTCTAATAAACAGGCCGATTCTCTAATAGAACCGGCCGGTTCTCGACCGGGTTTGTCAAGAGAACCGACGACTTTGTCCTAAACCGGTGGCACAATATAATATTATTTTGTTATTTATATATCTAATTTTTTAATTAAGAGCAGCAGCCCACCCCACCATGCAAATACATGGTCCCCGCCACGTCATTAACTCACACCTTTAAGCCTTTCACACCTCACACCTCAATGCCCTCAACATCTTTTTTATAGCCCCACCCAACCTCGTTACTCTTGAATTTGCCGGGTGTGGGACTAAGCAAGATTTCCCCACGTTTAGACTTCGAGATATAAAAAAAATCATCTCCAACGCTTTCTACCATGAAACATTATGGAAATTTCAAAAAGGGTAATCTCAAGTCATTGATCATTCACAAGTTTCTACTGAAACAAGAAATACTAATGCAGAAGCTATCACGAAGCATTGTAAAAAACTAGGCATAACATTCAAAAAAATATGTTAAGGCGCAAAATCGATGACAAGTATAATATTATTTCGAATTACTTCTTTTACTTATGGATCCTTATTGTAACTCATGGTATATAATTGAGGTTTCTTTCAAGGTGGCCTTCTTATACTGTAGAAAAAAAGTGCCTCTTTAAATTTTGCCTATAAATGTAGTTCTGGTAGTGAAAACTTTACGATGGCTTGAAAATTGATTTTCAATCCTAGTTATTAAATTTAAAAGTTTAAAATGGTAATGATCGACCAAGTTTATCAACACTTGAATATCTTAAAAAATGTCATCACTCTCTCTCTCTATCTCCAAAAGCAAACAACCAAATACATGAAAACTAAGATTACCAGAGTAAAGAAACCAAGTGTAAAAAAGCAAAGATAGTAAATAAAAAATATAAAAAGGATGAATAGTAACCTTCTTTCAAATATCTAAACTCTTAAGTTAATACAAAATTTAATCAATAAATTGAGTTAGAGAGATTCATTTATTTCCATGTGTTGCATTTTAAATTTTATTTTGAATATAAAATGAACCTAAGAGCCAACATAGTTAGATATGAAATAGGCTCTCAGTATTTCTTTATTTTTAGCACAAAAATGGAAAACCATAATGCAATTACCACTATTTTTTCGAAAAATCTAAAAAACTAGCTAATCTAACTATTTTTTGAAATTTCTTTCGGCCAAAACTAGCTAATCTGACTATTTCTCCTATTCAAATTGTCGGTCCACTGATCCGACGCAGTTTTTGAGGATGCCAAATGTCCTCTCCGTGCCTTCGACCGAACCTGAACTTTCTTTTTTTTTGTAAGATTCTTAACCTACATCCAAGATTCCGTATATATTTCTTTCACACCACAGGGCATCCAAGCCATGTCGCGTTTCATATATAATAGATAGATTTATTTAGCAATAAAGACCA